AGAATTCGCTTGTTGCTCAGTCTGTGTCTGAAGCCGGGCTATGCCTTGGGTGATGGTCCTTTCTTCAGGGAACTTAGTGCAGTCGGGGGCCTCACCAGCCACGACCTGTGGCCACTGACAGTGGCTGCTGAGGTCCTTTTGCACAGGATTTCCATGCTTGTCTAACACCGCAGGCACCTAGCGTTTAAGAATGACCTGACTCTTGGCTCCTTTCCTTCCAGACCACGTGCAGCTGTCAAGAGCTCTTCCCCGTGTTTTGTTCCATGTTCTTTTTTCACAGCGTTGCCATCGCCTTACGTGGAATGACCACGGCCCTTCTCATCTGTGGCTTCCGGTGCCTTCTCTGTTGGTCACATCACACATCTCTATAGTCCCTCTCATCATGGTGGAACAGCCAGGCCCAGATCAGCCTCTGTATCCCTCTTCCTCCCTCTCCTCCCCCTAGAATGCAGCATCATGTTGACCGTGCAGTAGTCACAAATTCGCTTCCTATTAATTGACTCCAACAAGTTAATTTTACATCTGATTTGGAGACCAAATTAGATACATTACTTGGCTTCTGTTCTTGGAGTAATTACTGCCTTGATTTGTATGGATTGCAAGTGTGTGCCTCCTCCCAAGTATACAGTGGCCTTGTGGGTAGAGTCCGCAGCCATTTGCTTCAACCAACATTGACAGAGGACCCGCCCCGGCAGCCCGAGTTGGGTGCTGTTGATTTGAATTCCGTGTTCCTGTCTCTGTAGACTGGCTTGCACCTTGGCCTTAGAGACGGTGGCATTGAGGCACGGGTACTGGTGCTCAGTGCGTTGCCAGTGATCAGAGCGCAGTGCTGTTCTCTTCCCCGTTTTATTAGGAGGGAAATTTTGTTTTTGTGGCTTGGGTTTTGTTCTACTTTTACGCTGTCATGACTATCATAAAAGAAATGCTTAACTGCCCCCCTGGTGCCCGAACATTAGGATGTATTCCTTAAGGAACTCTTCACCAATTCATTTGTATTTGCAGAGCTGAAATGGCCCCGGAATGAGCACTTGAGCAGAAATGAGAAGCTTTGCGTGCCGTAGGCTAGGGCGTTCGCTGATCGGCTCTGAATGTTCTGTGCTGGTACCTCTGACCCCAGAGGGAAATTAATAGCATTTTGAAGTATGGATCCCTGTGGTATTTTGCACGGTATTTTGAGAAAAAGGAGCATATGAGTTGTGCTAGGTTTGGGGAATTGCCGAAGAGAATTAGGGGATTTTCTCTCAGAGCTTTCAAATATCTGCTGATTTTAAGTGTCTCCTCCAGTCCCTTTCGGTATTCTGGTGTCTCGGCTGCGATTTAGGCAGTTTTACAAAAAACACACCATTCGGTGAGGGCTTGTGCTGTGGGGCGGGAGCGGGCTGGGAGAGGTCAATGGGGGGAAAAAGGAGACATGTTCATACTTTCAACCATAAGGAATTAAAAGAACAGCTACAAACAAACAAAAAACTGAAAACACGCCGTTCAGGTGGGTGTCTCATTATCAGGCAGAAATATTTCTGGAAATTGAGTTCTTGTACGTGGCAGTGTTTCCCTCTTTGAATTTTCACTGTGAAATCAGCGTCTTGTAACCATTTAAAAGTTATAGTACAGCCCTCGCTGGTTTGGCTCAGTGGGTAGAGCGTTGGCCTGCAGCCTGAAGGGTCTCAGGTTCGATTCTGGTCAAGGGCACATGCCTGGGTTATGGGCTCGATCCCCAGTGCCTGGGCGTGCAGGAGGCAGCCAATCAATGATTCTCTCTCATCATTGATGTTTCTGTCTGTCTCTCCCTCTCCCTTCCTCTCTGAAATCAATAAAAATACATATTAAAAAAAATTGCATTTAAAATTTCCCAATAATATTTACTAATCTGTATTTGTATATTTTCAAATTATAGTATCCGTTTATTTAACAGCCCTCACCCCTACCCCTCACCCAAAGATATATGCTTGTATAGTTTAAAAAGTCAGGTGGTTCTGCCGGGTTTATAACCGAAGCCAGAGTCTGCTGACCTTCCCCACCCGGTCCCGGCCTCTCGGGATAAGCAGGAGCGGCTGCTTTAACTGTTCCTTCAGCGTTTGGTCTCCACAAGCCTCCACTGTAGGCACAACTACTTGAGACCTTTCAGCTGCAGACGTCCCCAGTGATTTTCTGACGTCCCGACGCGCGTTACAACATGGGTCAGCCTCGAAAGCATGGCATCCGCGGGATGATCCAGACACAAAGGGACGGATACCGTGATTCCACTTACAAGAACTCTCCACAGAGAGTAGCTTAGAGGTTCCCGGGAGCCGGGGGGAGGGGAGGATGGGGTGCTCTTAACGGTTCCTGGGCTTCTGTTTGGGGTGGTGAGAAAGGTTTGGAAATAGTGATGTTCGTACAACACTCCGAATGTAACTAATGCCACTGAACTGTAGGCTTCAAAATGGCAATTGTATGTGGTGTGTGTGTGTGTGTATGTGTGTGTGTGTACAAATATCTATAATGAATAATCAAATTAATTAATAAAATAAAACAGCTTACATGATTAAGACTGTAAATGTCATTCCTTTGTTTCCTCTTCTTGTGCAATTGTGTTTCCCAGAGTTAGTAAAAGTATCTCTGCTTTCCCCACTTTCACGGAACCCGTTACCAGTCTCCTACCGGAAGTGCGGATTCCTGTCCCACACCGGGACCTCTCAGGGCTCTGCCATTCGCCCTGCCTAGGGGCCCTCCAGCCCCCTTCCCGTCCCTCTCATCCCTCTGGGCTCCTGCTCTCCTGGTCTGTGACTTGTTGCTCCCTCATCCTCTTCTCCCCGCCCGCCCCACCCCCGGGACACCCTTCCTTTCTCTTCCCATCCTCCACTTGTTTTCCTCCCTTTTACCTGTCAAAACGCATCCTTGAGTCTCTTTCTGAGAAAGGTGCCTGGGAGGTGGTCTCCAGCCCGTCTCCCCAGAAGCAGGGCTGGATGTGGGGGCTCCTGTGCAAGGAATTTGGGAAAGACAGGCCTTGGTAGAAGCAGCCGGCCGGGGGTGGGAGGGTTGGGGGGAGGAGGGCGGTGGTGAGGGATGGATGGGGCGGGGGCAGAGGCTGCGCTGAGATGTGAGAGCACGGGGGTCACTCCCATGCAGCCCAGGAGAGAGGTAGCTAGCAGGTTGTCTTCAGTGGGGAGTTGACCATGAACGGTGGCTGCCGCTGGGGCGCTGAAGCTGGTGAGACCACAGCCCGAGAGAGGGATGGAGCAGCCGCGGCCCGGAGAACGAGCCCACGGGTTCCTCCCATGGTCTCAGGAGCTGAGCTGCTAAGACATGCTCCTCCCTTTTGGGGGCTCCTGGCGCGTTGGCAGTTTTCTGGGAGTGGCACGGAGGCTGCGCGTGTGGATGAGGCTGGCAGGAAGGAGGGGATCTGTCTGTCCTCCATTGTCACGCTGGTGACACTGGCTCCGTCACTCCGTGTGGTTTTCGGGAGGCGGATGATGCAGATGTCTCTCTTCAAGACAAGGCATAATTAAGTTGCTTTTAGAAACCCATTCAGCGTTTTGCACGTCGGTGATGACTGTCAGGCGTTCGGAGGGGTGGTGGGAGTACTCCAGCCGAGGTGTCGCTGCACCTATAGGAGTAGACGGCTGGGTGCTCAACGCCGGAGACTCCTTGGTTGCGTTGCCCTCACTGAGATCTGGCTCCAGCCTCGATTCCCTCTTCGCTCGTGTCCGTCCCCTCACTGAGGCGATCGTGGTCTTTGGCTTACTGAGCTCCCTGGACCGGCCACTTCCTGGCTCTGTGACCTGGGGCAGATTATCTTACTCCTCACGATTCCGTTTCTTCATCTACAATAGCTAAGTGAACAGTACCTGCCTCTCAGGATTTTTGTGACAATAAAGGAAGGCCTCCACTGTGAGGCTTGCTCCCTGGAAACAGTAGGTGATCAATAAATGTCCACTCCTGCCAAAACCGGTTTGGCTCAGTGGTAGAGCGTCGGTCTGCGGACTGAAAGGTCCCAGGTTCGATTCCAGTCAAGGGCATGTACATTGATTGGTTGCGGGCACATCCCCGGTAGGGGGTGTGCAAGAGGCAGCTGGTCGATGTTTCTCTCTCATCGACGTTTCTAGCTCTCTAGCTCTCTCCCTTCCTCCTCTCTGTAAAATATCAATAAAATATATTTAAAAAAAATAAAAAAATAAATAAATGTCCACTCCTGCCTGGCCAGTGTGGCCCACGGTTTGATTCCTGGGTCAGAGCTCATGTCCGGATTTTGGGCTCAATCCCCAGGAGAGGGCGTGCAGAAAGCAGCCAATCAAGGATTCCCATCATTGATATTTCAGTCTCTCTTTCTCTCCTTTCCTCTCTGAAGTCAATAAAAATGTTCATTCCCTTCTTCCTTTTCAGCGATAGGGAGATTGATGGGACCACGCTGGCATCGACTCACTGGTTGTCCCCAGATATTTCAAAGACCGTCACCTCTCACGGAGGAAAGACCATTCTCTGGTGCTCCAGAGAGCAGGCCTAGATTGAGTGGGTAACCACAGAAGGGAGAGAGGTTTCCACTGAACATAAGGAAGACTTCTGTCTTACAATCAGGGCCTAGGGGATTCAGCGAGGGTCCTAGGGGATTCAGGGCAGTGTGCCAATAACACTGGGGCCAGGGAAGGCTTTGTTGCCAGGGGCTGTGCACACAGTATGTTTACAAGCACCTGTGCCCTCTGGTCACTAGATGTCCCTCATAGGACAACCAGAGATGTCTCCAGACACTGCCCGATGCCACCTGGAGGGCAAAGTGGCCCTTGGTTGAGAATCATTGAATGGCAGCAAACCACACTCCATCCTTCCAAGGCCCATGCCATTTCTGCCCCAAGTTGACTTCTTCCAACACCAGTTCCAGGCGTTCTGGAGGCGGCTTCTGGTTTGGGATGGGGCCCGACCCCATGTGGCATCGCAGGGTGACTTTGGGCCGTGGAGAGCAAGCGAAGCTGCCCTCGGGGGGCACCTGGCCGGGCTAACGGTCTGTGCTCACTGTGGTTCTGCAGGTCATGCTGGCAGCCTCCTACTGGTCCCTGCTGGCCCCCGCGGTGGAGATGGCCACGTCCTCCGGGAACTTCGGGGCCTTTGCCTTCCTCCCCGTGGCCGCGGGCTTCACCCTCGGCGCTGCATTCGTCTACCTGGCCGACGCCCTGATGCCCCAGCTGGTGAGTACCGCCCCGGAGACGCGACGTCCCCGCCACGGCCTCTGCTCGGGAGCCGTGGCTCCGGAATAGACGCCGCGGGCCGTTTAGGGCTTTTCTGTGGGGGAATTGGATCTGACGTTTCCCCCAAAAGGAAATGAGCTCTCGGTAACATGACTCATCATCCATCCCCTTGGTTACGCGTTTCGCGAAGTTCGGATCTCAAATGTCAGGCTCCGTTATAAATATAGAGAGCAGCTGACAGTCCACCGTGCGGCGCCCTCTATATGAGCGGACCCACAAACGGGGAGAAGTGAGGGGACCAGGATCAGGGTCCCGACCCGTCAGGGGCTTACGATGTCACCGGGAGATGACAACACCCCCGGCCATAACGTAAGACCGGTGACAGCGTCGCGTCCACAGGGCTTATGAGTAGGAGGACGAGGTGGGGAGGCTGGCCAGCCGGGCTCTGGGGGGTGGGGGGGACTCACTTCTGCCAATCACCGGTGGCGTGCCCCTTAGCTCCATTTCTCCTTCCTGTCACCGAGGCTAATCCCTTTAGTGGCTGCAAAGTCAAAACTTAACAATCTGATAACTTCCTGTAATAGGGCTGGTGGGTTTTGGATCTGGAGAATGAGTGCGTATATAAAGAAGCACAGTAAGGCCCGGCCAGGGCGGCTCAGTGGTTGAGCGTTGACCTGTGAACCAAGAGGTCACAGTTCGGTTCCACATCAGTGCACAGGCCTGGGTTGCAGGCTGGACCCCCAGGGTGGGGCGTGCAGGAGGCAGCTGATCCATGATTCTGTGTCATCACTGGTGTTTCGATCTCTGTTCCTCTCTCTGAAGTCAATAAAAATATATTGAAAGAAAGGAACAAAAGGAGAAGCACAGTTAGAACCACAGCCTGAAGTCTGGCTGGGATCCCCGAAGAGAAAGTCGAGGCCAGGCCATGAGATTGTGACAGCCCATTGGCTAGAGCCGGTTGTCACGTGCTGCCGTTGGTAGACAGCAGCGAGCACCCAGTGCATGGAGTTGGGTCCAGCAGGGTGGAGGGGTGGCTGGAGCCCTTGACCTTGGCCGTTCACTGGTCCCACTGCCTGTCCGGGCCGCTGACCCTGGGTATCTTCGTAGATTCTGGCCCTGACGTCCGGGAAGGACGTGGTTAACAGGGGACTCTGTCCTCTGACCCCCCCTACCCTTCACTCAGCCTTTCGGGTTTATTTGTCTCCCTTTTGGAGCCGAAGCAAAATATGGCTCAGGGTCTTACTCATCACAGCCTATCCATGGAAGCCACTGTGGCATCAAACGTCTCTCTGAGCTGGTGCTGGTTTTTATTTATTTATCGGGGAACAAAGCAGAGGCGGCTCCACAGTAACAGTTAGTGGGAAATGAGCTGGCAGGGATTTGCAGTGGCTTTGCCAAATGGAGTCTTTATGAAAGGGGGGAAGGGGGCGGGCAGGGAGCGTGCACCCTGCATGGCCTGGGAAGCGGCTGGCAAGAGGCCTGGACCAGCCCCAGACCAGGGTCCCTCCCTAAGGACGACCCAAAGGAGAAACAGAATGGACGCCGAGTAGCAATTGATGTTGACATTTTGATGAAAAATATGTCAAAGATGTTGACATTTGATGATCTTTGCAGTTTTGCTTCTCTGTGAAGCTGAGGATGGTGGTAGGCGGGGAGGCTTCACCTTCAGTTTAAAGGGGGTGGGGTGGGGAAGGAGGGCTGGGGCTACTTCCCCGAGGCCTCTTCTCCTTCCTGTTAGTCATCTTATTAGAATCACATCAGTACAATGCAAACACCTCATTACCAAAAAAGACATTCCTGTGAAAATGCCTTCCTGTTATAGACTGTGTCCCTCCAAAATGCATGTTCAACCTAATCCCCAGGGTGACGGTACTGGGAGGTGGGGCCCTCCTGCAGGTGGTAAGCCTATGAGGGTGGAGCTCCCGTGAGTGGGGTTAGTGCCCTTTATAAGAGCCTCTAGGGCTTGCTTCCGCCATGTGAGGACACAGCAGGAAGACACCGTCAGTGAGCCAGGAAGGAGGCCCTCATCAGGCACCGAAATCTGGCAGAGTTTGCCGTTGGACTTGGTCTGCAGATCCGTGAGAAACACATTTCTGTGGTTTGTACTCCACCCAGACTGGGGTCACTTGTGATAGTCCTCTGAGACACTCTCCTGTTCCCATTCTCTCCCCAGCCTACTATTTTCATTGGTTTAGTGGGCCTTCTTCCAGATTTTTTTCTCTTTCTTTGGGAAAACAAATGAAGTGCCTTTTAGATCTTTTTTTTATTTTTTATTTTTTTACAGAGAGGAAGAGAGAGGGATAGAGAGTTAGAAATATCAATGAGAGAGAATCATCGGTCAGCTGCCTCTTGCATACCCCCTACCGGGGATGTGCCCGCAACCAAGGTACATGCCTTGACCAGAATCGAACTTGGGACCTTTTAGTCCGCAGGCTGATGCTCTATTCACTGAGCCACACCGGTCTCAGCCCTTTTAGATCTTGAAACATAACCCCTTCCCCCGTTTGCCTGTATTGTGCAGTGCGTTTCACATCAACTCGCTAGCTGTACGCGCCCTGCCTCAGACCTGTGCAGCCCCGGCCGTCTCGGGTCCTCTGCCAGGCCGTTCCCCATCGTGGTGGGGTTAGATGGCTCCGGGCTTGTCCGTGTGTGTCTGTGTGCGTTTGGAAATGCAATCCTGTCCTCTGTGTTCGGAAGAACAGATGGCAGCACACGGTCTGCGCTGTTGCTCCGCGTTCTCCTCGGCGTGCTCTGCGTCTTCGCCGTCTGCCTGGGAAATGCGTTCTCCTCAGCCCCTCCCTCTCCTGGGATCTGGCATCTCGGGGAGGCTGCCCAGGTCTGCGGGGGCTGGGAGGGGAGTGGGTGTTGGGGGCTCTGTCTGAGGCTTTCCTCAGAGAGCCTGGCTGATAGTCCTGTCAGGATCGGCTCCAGGGCACGTTAGCAGGTGGTAGGGGTACTGCCTCCCCCTCAGCCCCCTCCTCCTTCCCCCCCCCCGCCATGTGTCTGCAGGAAAAATATCTGTGGCTGTGCAGCCAGAGATACAGAGCATCTGAGAGTGCCTGCTGTTGGGAGGTGGCTTCCTGGAGCACCCTCAGTGGGTCGGGCATGGGTACATGCACACACACACACACACACACACACACACACACACACACCATTTCATATAGGCTTGCTTGCTGAAGTGGGCTCCCCAGGCACTGAATGGTTCTTGTTACTGTACCAACGTGGCAGGGACTGGCAAAGGCAGACAGGCATGGTTGGCACCTCCGGGGCTTAGATCTCCCCCTGCACATTTGGACCACAGAGCTGTGACTGAATACGCGTCCCCTCTGGCCCTCTGCTGAGCCAGGAAACGTACTGTGGCTCTGCACTACCCCGGTGGGTGGCTGGCAGAGATGACTGACGAGACTGGATGGCTGAGCAGTGGTTCTCAGCCTCCCTAATGCCGAGACCCTTAATACAGCTCCTCATGTCGTGGTGACCCCCAAGCATAAAACTATTTTCGTTGCTACTTCATAACTGTCATTTTGCTACTGCCATGCATCGTTATGTAAATATCGGTTGAGACCCACAGGTTGGGAACCGCTGCTATAGAGCCTAAGACCATCGGAAAGCACAGATATTTACACACACACACACATATATATATATATATGAGGAAGGGGGAGGGAAAGAAACATCACTGATGAGAATCATTGATTGACTGGCTGCCTCCTGCACGCCCCCTACTGGGGATGGAGCCCACAACCTGGGCATGTGCCCTGACCGGGAATGGAACTGAGCCATGCCAGCTGGGCAAATGAGACCCTCTTTTTGAAAACTCCTTACAGCTTCTAAGCTGAAAGTGCTTTACACATGTGAGTTATTGTCCGGACACAGATCATGCCTTCGCAGTCGACCACAAACAGGAGGCGCAGATAATTGAACCTGCAGGCAGAACACAGAAAGGCTGGATCTGATTGTGTTGTATGGTTCTTTATGCATTATTTGCTTTCTTAATTCTGTTTGCCTACAAAGCTGGAGACGCATACGGCCATTAAGTAGCATTTTCAGAGCAAGGCAATTGGGAAGTGTGTCAGGCGGGGACGGGAGGTGGGACCTCCCTCTGGAGGTTCTGATTCATTGTGTCCAAGGTGAGGCCTGGCTTTCTAAACAAAACATCCCCACAAAGGCGCTGCTGTCACCAGCCACGGTTGTTGACTGCCCACTGCAGGCTCCTTACAACTGTTCAGGTGGTGTGTGTGTGTGTGTGTGTGTTTTGTTTGTTTAGGCGGTTGCTTTTTTTTTTTTTTTTTTTTTTTTTTTAAATGACTCACAGCAATTCAAGTGCCCTTTTCTTTCCCTTGGAAGCCAAAGCCTTATTATTGCAAAAGACTCAGAAAGGAGGGAAAGAAGGACGCCCTGCTCGTGCAAGGGGATGGGCTCAGGATGAGGAGTGGGGAGGAACTGGGTGGCAGACTTGGGACGCACCAGCATCACCCGGAGACTTAAAGAACGCCGGTGCCTGGGGATTCCGCGCTCACCAAGCCGAGAGCATCGCAAGGACAGCCCGGAGGAGGCCTGGGCGCTGGGGAGCGGGGGCTGCGTCTGAAGGACCCAGCCTCCGGGTGGGTGAGGGTGTGCACCCCTTCCCGGTCCGAGGGGCTCCAGGTTCCTCTTGGCACCTTTTCACTGCCTTCCTCCTCTTATTCTGCCAGCCCGTTCCGTCTGACACCCCAATCCTGACTCTGCTCACCCCTCCCCATTTTCCTAGGAGCTGTTTGCATCTCAGGCTGCCATGCAGTAGGGCCAGGGGCCGTGGCGAGTCCCAGGAGACTGGCTCATGGATGAGGCCCAGCGTACCTCTGAGGCAGCGGCTGAAGCGATTCAGGGCTAGACCGTGGGTACAGGAAGCAATGCTCCAGCACCAGCCGCATGTCCCACAGTCCAGGACACTCTCCACCCGGAGTCCCTGTCACACCCCACAGGCCGAGGGCCCTGGCCTACCAGATGCCTCCCTC